CAAGTTTCTACTTTTTGTAGAATTCCTTTTTGCATTTCAGCTTACTGAAGAGTTCACTGTCTGGCCAGGTCAGTCTCCCACTGCACTTCCTATCCTTTCTGTGTTGACTGGATCAACATGGAAGAAAGGATCGTGTGACTATTTCTTTCAAACAAAAGAAACAGAAGCCCAAAAAATTTGAACTTGATGACCATTAAAAAGAATAAAAAATTTAAAAAAATAAAAGAAACATGCCAGAATCCAAATGGACTGAATCCTTTAAATGCTAAGAGTCCTCTGTTGCTCCCATTAGGATGCATTCATCACTTTCCAGATTCAGACTCTTAGTTGTTATTGTTGGGGTCTTACAATAGCATGCAAAGGCACTTGCAACAGAAATTAGGGCCTCATTCTTCTAGGCACTGTACAATCATAAAGCAAGCAACAGTCCCTAAATAGACAAATGCCTACAAGCAAAAGCCTAGACAAATGCCTAGAAATGAGAAGTAACTTGTTCAAGGTCACTTTGCTGGTAAGTGACAGAAATGAGATTAGGAACCAGGTTTCTTGATTCCCAGCCACATAACATACCCTGTCCACTAAAACACAAAGCCTGCAACCATCTGGCAAACAACCATAACATCACAGATGAAGTCAGAAGTGAGACTCACTCTGTTGTCTGACAAGGACTAAGCAATAATTAAAACACTTCTCCCCAGGAATATTACCATTAAAACAAAAATGTTTATGGGCTTGGGAGGCAAGACTTATGAGGAAAGGCTGAAAGAACTAGGGTTATTCAATCTGAAGAAGAGAAAACTGAGGGGGGATTTGATAACAGCCTTCAAATACCTGAAGGACGATTACCGAGAGAAAGGAAATGGGCTTTTTGCCATGACTGTAGGGAACAGAACTAGGAGCAATAACCTCAAACTGCATCAGGGAAAATTTAGGTTGGAGATAAGAAGGAACTGTCTGCTTATGAAAGTGGTTAAGCATTACAACAAGTGATCTAAAGAAGTTGTACAATCTCCATCCTTGTAAGTATTCAAAAGCAGGCTGGACAGACACTTGGCTGGGATGGTTTAGTCAAGAATAATCCTGCCACCCTAGATGACCTTGTGAGGTCCCTTCCAACCCTACTTTCCTATGATCCTACTGCATACCATGTAGCACAGCTTGTGTTCTGGTTTTAGTCATGAGACAAAACAGCCCAAGTCACAGTAAACTTTAAAACTATTAAAACTGTAATACTTATTAAAAGATATCCCTGAGGGTGAGAGAGAAATAATGACTAATCTGGGCTAACAGCTGTTATCCAATATAATTTAAAAGGTGCCTAGTCATGCTCTGATAAATTTGCAGACCAGGGAACTTTACTGCAGACATATTAGGTACTTGCATAATTTCCCTATTCAGACAGATTTTTCTACTGAAATGGTGTTAAAGTTGTATTTGAAATAGACACCCTGGTGCTTCTAGAATCAAGATCGCCCTAATAGCTTCAGGACATGGGTCAGAGACTCCAATTACAAAAGGCTAAGAAATTTCAGGATCTTGACATGTCATGTATTATTTCCATACTGTAGACATGTAAACAAAAATGTTAACCCTATAACTTATTTATAGGGTTAACGTTAACCCTATAACTTACTCCCTATATTTGGGAACTAGGATGATGAGGCTTTCAGATTATCCATAACACGTGACACACTGCTTTGGATCATATATCACTAAAGTGAGGGATTTTGACTTTGTATGCAGTGCCTCTAGACTGCTACCCACCTACCCCTGTCATGCAAGTACCAACATGGCTGCAAGGCACTGCCCATCACCCCAAGCTCATCTCTTTCAGAAGAGAAATTACACACACTTCTGATCCACAGTTTTACCCCAAAATTTGCTTAGGGAAATAGCAGGTTAGTTGAAAGGATTTTCAAACTCCTGTACCCAAAGCTGTATGCCTACAGTCCATTTCTATGCCTACCCTGTACATAACTGCCTTGAACCTGAAAATACTTGTGCAGAGCACAACAGAATATGCATGGCTCTTCCATTCCAGAATGCTGCATCACTAGCTACTAAAGGCTAAGTCCTTTAGTGTGTCTTTGCTCCGCTTAACAGATATTAGGGTAGGCAGGGAGGAAAATTGGTTTTCTGCCAGCACCCTTGATCCTGGGAGCAGCAGAGGATCAGTGAAGCACCTGGTACAAATTAAAAGTACTTGCCATACTTTGTGGTCACTTCAGTTTTCCCCAGCAAAGGATCATTGGAGCACAGAGTGCTGGATTGACCTAGCAGGTTCAGTGTGCCAGAGTCAAGAGTATGCAGAATATACCCAGCTACACTAACATGTGTTGTACCAGATTTCCTGGTGGGAAATCACCACCTTCCATTTGTTGCCTTTACAAGGCAGCACATAGGACCAAAAACACAGTAGGCAAGCACCAGTGAAATAAACACTAGATCGGGGCGGGCAATTATTTCAGGCAGAGGGCCACTTATCAAGTTTTGGCAAGCTGTTGAGGGCCGCATGGGTAACCCCACCCCTTGACATGGGTAGCTCCTCCCCCTGGTCACCATCTTGTGACCAGAAGTCCCACCCCCTAGCCCCTGACCTTTGCCATTTTTGCCCCCAGAAGTACTCCTTTCAGCAAGGGGTTTTGCCATCTCAGAACCAGAAAAATACCAAATTATATTCTAAAAAGCAAACATCTACAACATTAATTAATTTGATTTCAAAAAAGATTTTTGGCTTGATTTACATGTGTTTGTGTAGTGTACATAGAGATGATTACACAATAGCTTAAAATGAAGTCTTACTCTCATATATTGTGGAAGGTGGGTATAGGTTTGTAGGGGGCCATGGGTATGTGGGTATCTGGAGTGAGGGAGCATGTGGATGTGGGTGGGTACAGGGAGGAGGGTGGCTGGGGTTTGTGTATGGCAGTGCAAGGAGGCGTGTGGGAGCATATGTATGGTGGGGTGTGCATGTGGGATTCACCCTATGAACACACACACACACACACACACACACTGCTCCCGCACCTGTGCGCACATGCACATACACACACACACACCCCTCCCCCCTCTACCAGCATGGTCCTGTGCTCTGCTCTGTCCTGTCTGGTAATGCAGCCAGGAGCTGCAGCCACATGGTGCTGGAGCACGGCAGCATCAGGAAAGCAGTGAACTGGCTGGGGGTGGGTAGGGCTAAGTTGCTAAAGCCTTCAAGCCTGCTGAGGGCTTCTTCTGGGTCCTACTGCCCCTGGCTCCTCCCAGCTTTGACAGGCAACTAGGAGCGAATAAATATTAATTTAGTAAATTTTTTTAGGGGCCCCATAGGCCAGATAGAATGGCCTGGCAGGCCGGATCCAGCCCACAGGCTGTATTTTGCCCACCCCTGCACTAGATGTTGCCCTCTGCACAGAGCAGCAGATGTCTCCAAAGTCTGGTGTGCATACTTGCTTGAGGTAGAAATAGAGGAAGAAGAAATGCACACACGCACACACACACAAAGAAATTCTTAACTAACCATTTCCACTTATTATGTCACTTTGCTCCCACACAGGAGGAATTTTGCAGCGAAACTATTCTTCTTTGACAATCCCTCGCAGTCGAGGCCGATTGTCTTCCATAATTATCTTATAACTAGGTCTGAAGATGGCTGACAAGGCAAATCTGGGATTGACAGACTCTGTTGCAAGTCAGGCACACGTTTTTGTGTGGAGTGGGTGCTCTGGATTAGTTGGTTCACAACATGCTGCTTCTGCCACACACACTTTTCTATCTCCTATTAATGTTGTAAGGTTTCAGAGTACTAAGATTCTTGCAGCAGACTTTTTTCCATTTGGGGCAGTCCTGGGTGATAGTCTCCCATGAGCTGATGTTGCATTTTTTCAAGCTGGCCTTGACTTAGCTGGGAAAACAAAACTTGCTTTGAGAGTCTGGAGTCGGACATCCAGATGATGTGGCCAGCCCAGTGAAGGTGATGTTGGTTGATCATCGCCTCAATGCTCATGGCATTTGCTTGTGAGAAGATCCTAATGTTGATGCATTTGTCTCCCACGCTATTAGAAGGATCTTCCACAGGTAGTGCCGACAATACTTCTCCACAATTTGAGGGGTGTCTCCAGTATATTGTCCATGTCTCACCTTTATCCAGTAAGGGGGCGAACACCACTGCTTGCTAAGCCATGAGCTTGGCTTCAGATCTGATGTTGCAATCTTTGAACACCAGTTTCCTCAGGCATCCATAAGCTGCACTTGCACATATGAGGTGAGGCTGGATTTCATTGTCAATTTCAGCCTTGTGCAAGAGGTGGCTTCCAAGTTGTCACCACACAAGGTGACAAGGCTCCCAGATACCCTGGGTGCAGGGGGATTCTCCCCCCCCCGCCCCCCCCAACAGTCCCTGACTGGCAGGGGATCATGGCCTGGAAAGGGCTGCGGGTTGGCTTCCCTTACCTTCAGTGAGCCGAGCCCCAGAAGCAGAGGTGCATGTGGCATTCCTGCACCATTTTAAGAGCACACTCTCCCTGAGTATGGGAAGGCACATGGCTGATGACACCATAAAAAGGCATCCAGAACTCCAGCAGGGGGAAGCTGATGACAAGGAAGCAGTGGCATTCCCAATTGCAAGGAGCTTCCCCACTGACCCCACAAGATCCAACAAGAATGCCAAGGAGCTGCCAGAGTGCCAAACCAGATGAGACCTGAAGGGTTCTCTGCCCCTGAAGACAGAGCAGAGGACAGGCATTCAAATGGTGAGACCTGCCCATGGACTGAGTTTGGGTATTGGACACCAGATGCGTGAGTCAAACTCCCCATGTAGTGTCATTTGGGGAAGCTCTGGGGTTTTCTTTGTGTCACGGGCATCTCCCCAGATGAATGGCCAGGCCGCAGCGAAATGGCAGAATGCTAGGCCATAACACAGGCCTCTGGACGGGTGACCCGTCACACTCACGAGGGGTCAATCGCATCGAACTGCCATCGAAGCAGGAAGGAAATTGCAACATAACTGGCTAAGCAGAAGACAATGAGGGGACTGAGTGAGGAAGGGGCTGCTGACGAGTAAACAGAATGCTGGCAGGAAGGTAACACAATTGGCCAGTAAAATTAAGTGAAAAAGAGTAAGGGTATAAAAGGGTAAAGCCACGAGGCCCTGACGGGGGAAGTTCGAACTGTAACTTCAAGTGTCAAAGGGCCCATGGACTGATCACCGCAGGGTCGCCCCCCCCCGCAAGTACTGCCTCGGGTCATTCTTGAGGCCTCCGCGAAGAGACTAACATTCCCAGCCATGAAGCCACTCCTTTTGTTTGCTGTAGTGGTAAGCATGCATGTAAGACTGTAGCTACTTATGTTTGTATTTGTCTGTCTTTCCTGTAAAAGACATGAGCCGTTGACCAAGTCTGGGTCTAGGGTCTTGGCTAGCCGCACCAAGGTCGTCCGCGATCTTGAAAGCAAGGGGCCT